CTCTCTTTCTCTCTTTCTCTCTTTCTCTCTTTCTCTTTCTCTCTCCCCTCTTCCCTGCCTCTCCCCACATCCATCCTCCATTTCCTGATAACTTCTCATCATGCCTAATATAAAATGGTGGTGCGCACAGAGAAGTGGAGGAAAGGGGAGAAGAGAGGAGAAGGCGGAGGGTGGGAAGACATTATGAAGAAGAAGGAGAAGAAGGAGAAGAAGGAAGAGGCCGAGCGAAGGAGGGAGATATTACGGTTATGGAGAAGGGGGGCAGAGAGAATGTCAGACCCCCAAGTCTGGCATTTGCCTATTTAAATTCAATCATGCCGCTCTCGCCGGGCTGAGAAATGGACGGCCGGCATTATGAATTTCTGATCAGAAGACTGATAGGTTATGAGAGGGGACATAATCCCATTGAGGCAGCTGGGTCCCCCCCCTCCATTTGCGCACAAGGGCAAAGCAATCACTGCCCCTTCGGAGACAGCCCTCGGCTTTGCCCTTTGTATAATTCATTTCCCCCTTTCTTTCCTTTTCTTTTGCTAAGGCCAAAGGAGTCCATTTGTCTGTCGAAGGAAAACCACCCTACAGATTCCCTGGGCCTTGCTCTGTTGTGCCTTTGCAAATCAGACGCCATCGAGGAGGGGGACATTTTGCTTGCTTTTTTAAAACCTCATTGCAATTCTTCCCTTTGGCTTGCACCAACACTGTGAGCTAAAGAGGATTGGAAGGCAGCAAGGCCTGCATCCAAGGGGTCCATGCACTTGGCACCTGGAGGGCTTTCCCTTTCCCTTTCCCTTTCCTTTCCCTTTGCCTTGCACCTTTGCAGACCAAAAAATAAACCCGTCCTTCCCGCTCCCCCTCCCAACCCTCCCGGAAATCAGCAGCACGCATAATATTTGCATACCGTAGAAACAACATCCCAATTATGCAATTTTTTTGTATACGCACACCTGTCTATCACCAGTTGTGCCTTTCAAATATTAATTACAGGCCATCAATTATGACGCTTCTTGGTGTTGCAAGGTTTCATTATCAGCATCCGCGGAAAATGTCAGTTCAAAAGTACTACCGGCGCTTTGATTTTTATTCTGAGAAGTCAAGCCCTAACAATGCTGATTTGCTTGCTTTGCTTTCTAAAAGAAAGGAAGAGTCGGAAGCAGCAGCAACAGAGCCG